CCGATTTTCCGTCTTCACCCAAATCCGTTATCTTTTGCTCACATCGACAGCTACTAGAACAATCCTAAGAAAAATTATGCAGTTATATCAAGGGATTTTATCATAGACGATTTCATACCTTTGCGGCGTAGAATTTCCTGTTCCAACGCACTTTGACTGTGGNAACGGACCCATTACATCCTACATCACCTACCAAAGTGCCAAGGATTCATCTCTAATACGAAGGGAGTTACGGACCCTGTGGCTTTTGCCTTGTAAGGCTTCTTATCAGATTCTATTGATTGTTCTCACTTCCTATTATATACCATCAGTGCTCCCATCCTGATGCCTATCTCTCTTTCAAATTTGAATGCCCTAGGCCTAGTGGGACAGGAGTTATGAATTTCCGGTCAGACAAACACACACATACTGACACACTTAGCCCATTGTATAAGTAAGATTTTCGGAATCGTTGCCCTCACCGTTGAGGCTGGCTAGATCACCTCCAACTACTCAGAGGTATTGCCTGCTGACCTCAGCGGCTCCTGCTGTGATAACCGCAAGATTTCTTCGCACCTCGAGACAATAGCCTACTCATTAATGGTATTCGTAGAACTATTTTACAATCTGCATATTTGAATGAAGCAATTGCGTATGAATCTGGAACCAAGGCTTATATACATTGAAACACACTAATCATACGGTATTTATTCACAGAAAACTTATTTACATTTGAAAAAAATCTGTCGTCTGGGGGCGAACTGTCAGTGAAATCGTATAGTCCGTCACTTCTTGGCGGAGTCCTCAGCACTTCATCTTGTGGCTGAGGTCAACGATGCTCTTGTGCTTGTATGCGGGCTCCTGTATTGCGAGCTCTGGCGTTCAGAGCATTTTCCACCGTCTGCCACACACTTGTCTCCGAGCTCTTCGATACATTGAAGTACTCAAAAACGACCTGTGATGAGGAAATTTTTCCATGGAGGTAACACGTCTCCCCTTTTTATGGTTTCATTGATATATAAATAGAGAATATCACCTTTTGCATGAAGTCTATTTTTTCTGCTGCATTTTTTTTCTCCTCCATATCCTTAAGTAGCTCCAAAGGGTTGTCTGCGAACAGTTCTTGCTCTAATGCTTGAGCGAACTTTGCAAGACTCCAGCGCCTGAGAGACAGCAAAGCCTCGATTCGATCCTGAGGGACGATCGAGTAGCCGATTCCGTCCTCTAGATTGAAATTAATAATGTTAACGAGCAAGTTGTAGTGATTAATAAAAGATAATTACCTGCTGACCGACATCTTAGTTGCTCTTTAATTTCTTGAACGGATGCCTGTAGCGCGATTATGCGTCGCTCCTGGCGGTAATCCATCCTATCCCCCTTTTTCTTGAGATCGCGAATCGCGCCTACGGTGGCTAATCACAATAATCTCATTTGCTCTATTAGTTTGCGATTGTCTGCATTCGTTCAATTCGAAGTCTCCCTTGCTACAATCTCGTCTCCTCTTTCGATAAAAACGTCGTTCTCAGGAATGGTACTACTCTCTCCGACTGTGAAGAATCTTTCCACCGATTTTCCGTCTTCACCCAAATCCGTTATCTTTTGCTCACATCGACTGCTACTAGAACAATCCTAAGAAAAACTATGCAGTTATATCAAGGGATTTTATCATAGACGATTTCATACCTTTGTGGCGTAGAATTTCCTGTTCCAACGCACTTTGACTGTGGAGTTGATTTTGTGTCCACCACTAATATCTGACAGCGGGACGATGTCAGCGACCTTGGATCGAGTGAAGAAGACAATAGCGTCATCCATGATAGTTCAGTGAGAATCCAGCCTTTCATCCTATATATACGACCTCGGTTGGCCTAGAGTGAGTTTGGCAAGAGAATTTCGACAAAAAGAAGACCATTTTGAACTTGTTTCCAGAATTTTACATGTGAGCCAATATCAGAAATACGTATATTTACCAGAAAGATCAACAATCTCGCTTATCCTTTGAGCATAGACTCATGTTCAGGTGAAGCCTGGCAAAGCGGAGCACATGATAATTAATATTGCATACTGCAGTGCGGTGCAGATTTCCTCCCAATGATCCTCGCCACATTTAATACATCCCCCATCCGTGTGTCAATTATTTAGCCTAAACGCGTACATTTTCATACCAGGATGACAAATGCAGTAAAGCGTGGGAAAAACGACGCGCTACGCGCTTTTTCACCTTGTTGCGGGGATCATAAAAAGATGGGGCCCATGACTAGGAGGGATCTTCGTGAGAGCTCATCGAACCTGCGCTACCAACTCGATCTTCTGGAGTACAGTGTATGTGGACACCCCACTATTTTGGCTCATCGAGCTTGCCAGTAAACATTGAGCCAAAACACTTCTAATATACAAGTATTCGGATGGAAAAACGCTGGAATAATTATTTTTCAAAAACCTCAAAAAGCTTTCACTTTTCTTCATTTAAGAAAAAAGTCTTCTTTGTAACAAAAGTATGTGGACACTATATAAAACAANAGGAATATAAATGAGAATAATAATAGATTGGTCCTCCTGAGTTCCTGATCAGCCTGAACGTTCTATCAGGCATGCTCTGAACCAAGTTTGCGATGATCGTGTCGTCGATTGATTCCCAAACAGCCAAGATCGCCGCCCTCAGTTCCTTTACACTTTTATACTGACGGTTGTTGAGGTAGGCGCGCAGAGACATGATCCTCTAGTCTGGGGTTGCAGTCAAAAAAATAATCTGGCCAATCCATCATATTACCACCAAGGCGTTGTAGCCATTCCTTTGTGGACCGTGAGACATGGATAGCTGCATTATCATGCTTAAAACGTGTGCCTTGCTTCGCTCACCTCTAAAAAATGGCAGGAGGAGGAACTGAAGCACTTCTTGATACTCCTATCTTTCCAACCGACATGAAGGAGAGGCCAGCTCCAGTTTGCCGCCGCTCCCCAATTCACCCCAATCAAATAATATAGCTCCTCATAGACTCGTTTAAAATAGCGACGAAGGTCGACGAAGGTCTGTATACCTACCCTCAGTCTTCAGGAAACACCCACGCTCATCCTCGAGGAGCGGATCATAGGTATTCTCAGTCCTGAGGGACACCTATGCTCAACCTCGACGGGCAGAGCATAGTCTCAGTCCTAATAAACCGCTCACGCTCAGTTTCGACAAAATGGACAGTGGGCAGGGCGCGGATGGGATTCACCGTTTTTGGAACTGCGCGTTTTGGTCCGAAGGCTGCGTCTCGTTGTTGCTGTACATGACCTGCCGTGCTCCAATTGTGACCAATGCGGCTGTATTCGACCCAAGCTGGAAATCACCAAGTTGCAGATTATGACGTGCTAAATTTTCTTTTATATGAAAGGCAGGATCACTTTCTGTAAAAAATTTCATTTAAAAATAAGCGAATGTTTTAATGTGGGGTTGAATATTGTGAATAAGAGCTTTAACGTGTTGTATTGCTTTAAAAGTAATGCAGGATTCTCATTAATAAACTCTTCGTATTGAAAACTTGAATGATCTCGATAGTTGTTAATAACGTCCGGCCTCACCTGTCTAGGGAGTAGTCCCGATGAGCTGTACGATGTAGCATTGGTGCACTTGAGGTTGGTCAGACTTCCATATTACCTCAAAAACGGAGAGATAAGTCATTTTATAACATGGTGACCGTTAGTTCGTATAATGATGACCGATTCACAGTTGTCATAGAAAGCCTGTGATAGAAAAAGGGAAAGAACAGTGGAACAGTGTTAGAATATGATTGTTCCAATTACAATTGTAAAGGAAGTATGGTTGGTTAATAAAAAGACCAATTGTTAAACAATAAGAGGCACGGTCAGGTGCATGGTTGCGTGGGCAGCGTATGTCAGGATTGATATGATATCACAGAGGGAGGCTGTGCGCTAATAGAAAGAAGTGTGTTCAAAAACAAAGAGAAACTTCATGACTTTCTCGAGAGAAAAAACGAGCATTGTGGCCTGCGTCACTAAAAAAGTCCCCTGCGGGTCATGCTAGTTGCGCTGATGTGAGCGCAGTACTTGAGAAAGCGTAAATTAGGATAGGTTCACACATACTAACTAAAGTTAGCTTGGTACGCAACCATGTGAGTTTAGCTGCGTATTCTGCTATAATGGCACACAACTTGAAACGGTGTTACCACATAATGTCTCTAGAAGCAAAAACCAAGCAACTGTGGGTATAAAACAAGTAACTGCGGTAAATGTCTAAACCGAAATAAAAGGACCAAAACAAATGGTAACAGTGCGAGTGATATATTGAAAAAGGAATGGCATTAACGATTTCTCCGTACACTGCACAAAGAAGAAGTGTAAGTAATAAAAAAAGGGGTTACCTGAATGAACTTTTGATAAGATTGTTGCGAAGAATAAGTATACCATAGCAATCAGAGAATGCAACAAACAAGAAAAGATGAATGAAGGAGGGGGAGGGGTCGTCATCCGAAGAAAATGAGGGGTGGATGTCGCGAAGATTGAATTTCGAAAATATGATTCGGCGCCGGTGCGCGGCGTTAGCATCGGGACGCGGTTCCGTTCCATTAAGCAAATGATTGTTTCGTGTGAGTAAATGCGCGTTAATGATAGTTTCACTGTAAGTAGTATCAAGGAATAAACTTATGGAAAGTTTTTGCCGCTATTTTTGCTCGCATCTTTGCGGTAACGGCTTTACTATGCTGCTGCGGACTTGCGTAGAATTTGGGCCGTGCGCGTTAGTTGCTCGGATTTCAAGCGGATATAGGTTTGCCAGTGAGCGTGGTAGTACTTTACCATTTGTCATACGCATGCCTAGGACGAACCTTTATAACGAATAAATAGAACCAAGCGGCCAATAATTCTCGGCAATTAATCGTCGGCGACGATAACATATCATTGGCTCGTGGAGGCGCCGTGGTATACTTTGCTGCTTCTTAAAAATCTGGTGGCATTCTTATAAGGCTTTGAGGCAATTTGTATGCTATATTTCCCAGACGTGTCAAACGCCCCACTGCTAACGCCACGCGCACGAACAGGAGGGTTGAAGCCCATCGACAAGCCCCAGTGAGACAAGGTACCATCCCGTAGGATTAAAGTTGAGCTTATCGTTTTGCTTCGTTAACGGGCATGAAGCCACTTCATTCATGTTTTGTTGTGTAGTAAGAGAGTTCTATCGTCATCAGATTCGTTTTGAGTGCGATGAGAACACTCATCATTTTATCTTCTTTATTTCTTTACCAGTTGGGCGACACAACATCATTTGAATGCCCGTTTGGCCTCATGAATGACTCATGGGGAGAAGGAAGGGGGTCAGTAGATCATCAGCTAGATAAGTCATAAATTTCATCTCTTTAAAAAAGTCTCTCGTTAACAAAAAGGCTCCGAAAAGCAGGAAGCCGATAAGCGACAAGCACACGGCAGCAAATGGTCATGAAGCGAGGTTTCAATAACGGATCATCTCATATATCACTAGACAGGTCGGATCGCCCGGCTAACGATGGCCTCTCCTCCTTCCTGTGCTAGAATTGAACTGCCCTTGCATTCTTCCAAATTTAAAGACCCTGGCCGAAGAAAACAAGAGCTATTGATTCCCAGGAAAACACAAATACGCACCGAAAGACTTCGTGCGCTAGGTTAATCAATTCTTATTCCAACTCGACCGCTTGTCTTCACTCTAAGGACGCTCAATTCATGCATCGTCCGCCCCACAACATCCCAGTGCGGTTCCGCGGGCTGGAAGAGTTCAGCTACTTTCTACTACCTACCATCAGTGTCCTAAATCTGCCGCCTGCACTCGTTCCGAATTTGAAGGCCCCAGGTAAAAATTACCAATTTTCGCGCAAGTCGGGCAGAGTCGGATCATGCAACCTCCTGTCACCATTCCCATACCGCGTCTTTATTTCTAGCAAATTTGAACGCTCTAGGTGGACGGGAAGACAGCTTAAGATTTTTAGCTCGAAGCCCGCCCACCGACCCACTGTGAGCGAGTCCGCTCCTGCCTACCACCATAAGTATTAGGTCGTGAAGAAAGTTCTTGCGTTTTTGCGCCTCAAACTTCAAATGTACATATCTCGGCTTAAACAAAACTTCATAAAACGAAATAACAACCATTACTATCGACACACATTTGCTAACGAGAAACAAGTTAGTTTACCCCATTCGCGTAGAATTCCGGAGATCTAGAGGAGATGAAATCGTCGAATGCCGCGGCAGCATCATGTTTAGTTTTGAAGCATTTCTCCTTGAGAAAGCCGTCGAGATGTTTAAAGAAATGGTATTCTGTGGGGGCAAGGCCTGGGGAATATGGTGGATGCGGGAGAGTTTCATAGCCTAGCTCCATCAATTTTCTCAGGGTAAGGTGTGCGACGTGGGACCGAGCGTTGTCGTGGAGTAGAATTGGACCCTTTCTGTTCACCAGTGCCGGGCTCATGAGCCGGAGTTTTCGATGCATTTCATCAACTTCTTGTCAGTACTTCTCGACTGTTACGGTTTCATCCGGATTCATGGAGCTGTGGTGGATCAGCTCGGCTGCAGATCACCAAACCAGCACCATGACCTTCTTTCCATGGTGCTTCGGCTTGGGAAAATGTCGTGGGGCTTGATCCTTGTACAGCCACTGGCCTGATCGTCGCCGGTTGCCGTACAGAATCCTCTTCTCATCACACGTCACAATACGGTCTAGAAATGGATCGTTCCTGTTGCGCAGAAGCAAGGCGGAGGCGAGCTCGTAGCGGCGGTCTTTCTAGTGCTGAGTCAACTCATGCGTCACCCACTTATCGAGCTTCTTCGACTTCCCGATCTCCCGCATGTGG